TTTTTTTTTGAAAACCAGGAGTAATTTTTTTCTTCTTCTAAGCATCCTTACAAAGTTCGCTTTTGGAAAAAAAGATTTGTTTTTAGTGGGTAGCCATGATTCGCTTTTCAATTATCCTAGTCTTTTTTTTACCCTATAGTCCATACTTCATGGCTACGCTTTTCATAAACATTGCTACCTGCTTTCTTTGGTAAAGTGCTGACGTAAGATTGCATTGTTTTGCATTTTCAGGCCTGAAGCAGACATTAGCACTAGTAACAGACTATAACTCGCTGATGAAAGATTTTCCATTAAATGAGCTTGTGTCAGCGACAGATCTAGATTCCATCAAGGTAGCCTTAGGCAATGTCTTTGGGCATATGAAAAAGATCAGGTTAGTTTTACTTCAGCTCCTAACATCCTGCAGTAAACATATGCTTGTTTTTTAGAGCAACAAAATATCCCATTCAACGAGCCTTAAGGTTCATTGAAGCTATTTCGCGTGACATGAATGCGCAAATTTTGAAGGTTAGAATCTTTGGATTTGACTGATCATCTATTATATGTTGAAAATATTATGTTTGCTCAGGTTCTCGGCACACGCCGATTGATGCATATCTCAATTGTAGAATTTGATCAACTGATGATGCAGTGTATCCAGCTGTTCACTAAGTGGGACGATGAATATGACAAGTGAGGACTTGTAGAGATAAAATTACTTTTTTTGTGGAAAATTGGGAAGTGGCTGAAATCGGTGGAGAAGTGTTTTCTTTTGTTTATTACACATTTTATAGATTCATCACTCTGCTCCGAGACATCTCGAAGAAAAAACGGGATGAGCCGGTGAAACTTATGTGGAAAGTGCAGCCGTTGCACAAAAAGCTTGAAGGACGTCTTGTACAGATCAAGGCTTTCAGAAAGTTGGTTTTTTTTCAAAACTGCACCAAATTTCTCAGTCTCAATCAATGACATGCTTTATCGTGTGTGGAAAAAGAAGATGAACAAAAATACATTGAACTGGTCATAAGAAAATGCTGGACACCGAAATGTGTAAATTATCCAAATTTGATACACTACAGTTGCGCCACTGCCTGCTTAGTAAATCGCGGATAGCTTAACGAATTTCCAAAAATTATTCTCTTTTTTTTTTGGAATTTTCCAAATAGAAGATCTCTTTTGAGGCGTTTTCTTTTCTTATCCTGTTTATAACTTTGTACATTCAAAAGTGGTTCGTATTTCATGGTAATAACATTCAATAACAGTAATTTACTCACTTTCTTAATTTTTTTT